CAGAACTAGTTTATTTCTATTCCAGGCTTCAGTCCCCAGTGAAGCAGTAAGTTTCCTTGAGTTAACTAGAATTTTAAACATAAAGCATCAATTTTATGCAGTTAATTTTTAGACATGCAGACTTCTAGCTGCATAAACAAGCTGACAGTGCTGGATGTATGCAGTCTGAGAAAGTTTAGGAATAAGCTTCAGTGCCAGGCCCAAACCAGCTGCCACTGAAGTTAAACTGGAGCAGGCCTTTATTATAACAAGAACAAAAACTCTGGGGGCAGGCAGGATGAGGATTTATTTTTAGACACATTATGGTAATATAGTCAAATGGATTTACCAGGAAGATAAAGATCTGAACCAACTGGAACACAAATAACTCTTCAGAACATGCAAGTAGTCCAAAACCTCCAAATAGGTGCATCACTTCTCTGGAGTCCTGGGAAAAACCAGTCTTGTGGATGCTAGTTATGCTTCAGGTGTCACTTAATACTCTCAGCTCTGTTTTGGACAGCAATCTTAGTCAAAGCATTGCACTTTGAGTGCTGAAGATTTATTCTTAAATTATAAGTCAAAAATAAATGACACTGTGGATTTGATTAATATGCATTTTGTTATTATAAACATTTCTTCTGATCTGGCCATGCTCCAAGATGACTTATCAGGCATTCTTTAAAAAAAGCTTGAACAATATCTAGCATTTGCTTCTACAAATTTTCAAAAAGTTAACTGGAGGGAGGGAAAAACAAAATTTAAAAAAGCTTTAGTTTTATGACTGTGAACTACTGTTTCCTTTTTTAAAGAAAAAAAAAAAGCAGTTGAATGAAGTGATATTTTCCTTTCAGATTCAAAAGGCTGTTGCTTTCATACCAGCTGCAGATTAGTATTTTGGAAGCCTCTTGTGTCAAGACAGAGGGAAAAAGTTCACAAAGCTTAAAAAACACTTCCATTATCTCTTTCTCGCCAGAAAAAACAATGCCTACCCAGAAAACATTTTTCGTCTTCAGGAACCAGTAGCTGTAAGATTTGTCATTAAAAAGGGGAAAGGCTGACCACTTTGGGTTTTAGAGTAAGGTTGAAATAAGATGTTCAAAACTCATTTTAATTGTATTTTATGCTAAAGTAATTTAGATACTGGAGGATTTTTTTCCATCTCAGTAGTTTCCTGGTGTGTTTGTGCAATTGGCCCCAATATTAAATAATTACAAGGATCATAATTCAGAATAAACAAACCGTTTGAAGTTGGAGCTATGCATACCAAAGGAATTGCCAAGTTTGACCTCCTCCTTACTCACAGTCTCACCAAACCCCCAAAAGATCTTTCTTTACATAAAAGCAAAGTTTAGCGCTAAGCTTTGCTTAGTTAATTCATGCACAGCTCCCTTAAGGTACAGCACGCATCACACTTGGGATTCTTTAAGAAAGGCAAGAGATTTATGCCAGAGAAGAGCATGTATCTACCATGAAACAAAACTTGTTGAGACAGACTTTGACAAGTGGAACATGGAAATTCTTTTGTTCCATACTTTTCTATATGGCTTCATAAGCCAAGTTTGCCTGTCAAGAAAGTCACTAGTCTCAAAATGAATGCAAGAAGCAAGACTACGTGTATTATTTTTTTTAAAGTCATCATCATCATTATTGTTTCAATTTAGTGAAGAATTGCTAGCTACTGCAGGGGCAGCTTTCCGACGCACTCTATGCTGGTCTGCTGCCCTGTTTCCTAGCAACTTACTCAAACCTCCCATCACTTAAATGAATTTATGGCCCACCACCTCCATACCCATTACTCACAGGGGTACATATCAAAACTGACAAGAGCAAACCGCATAAGTTATTAATAAGGCTCCAACACCTCAAATCTACAGCTACAGTCCAATCTAACAATACATTTAAAGCATACCATTCTCTTTTCTTCCTCTCCTGCATGATGAATAAAGGCCTCTAATGCAATATAACTATTTTTCACAAACGGCATAAGGGGCAGCTTGACATCAGAAGAGATTTTATTTTATTTTTTTCAAGTAGTCAAGGCAACAAGGCTTCTTAATGTTACTGACATAAGCTGGAACATCCAAGAAAAGCCTCCCTCAGACAGCAGAACAAACAATACATATTCAGAGATGAGCATGAATTTTCAAGTGCAATATGATTAACATTTCAGTCTAGCTCCTATTAACTTTACTGTCATTTTTAGTTGGATGCATTCAAAGAGAACTCTCATGATTAGCTACACTGGTAAAGGCAATGCTACTCTCAAGCTTTTATTAAAGTCAAGAGTATTCACCCATCTAAAATTTTTTTAAGTTCTGAAATTTCAGCATCAGACTCAAGTTGACTAATTAAGTTTAGTGCTTTATCTGTAGAGCTTTCAAAATGCCGAAAATGATTTGTGTACACAATTTTAGTACAAATAAGGGCTTTGCCACATTAGATATTCTTTTGTTCAAATGCCATTTGAAAGTCACAATGGCTAGCATAAAAAGCTGTGTTCTATAGAAGCTAAAGCTGGGAGGCAGGCTTGATAATTGCAAACAGACTATCATCACAATCTCAAAAAGCACATTTCTGCATGGGAATATGCAAGAGTTTATTCCAAAAATTCCAGTCTTAGGAACTGGAGTGTCTGAAGTTGTCAAGTTTCACACATTTCAAAGGCTGCACTGCTCTAGGATTCCAGTGCTCAATGAGATTCAGCAGGACAATAGAAGCATTTCTTTTACTAAGATGCAGGCAACCTTAAGAAACTTCTCCCAGGGTCCCCACCCCCCCAAACCCGCTCTCTAAGCACAGGTTTCCCTTCCCAACTCTACAAAGTTGTTAGAAGGAACACGTTCAGTTTTCACACCATTTTTATATACATACACAGATCTTCAGATTCAAGGCACTCAAATTACTGGGAGCAAGGTAGGGGGCTAGTCAAAAAAAAAAAAAAAAAAAATTATCGATGAACATGACTTTTCTGAAAAAAGTAAAAATCTGCAGTACAAGCACTGCAGCCATTGGCAGAGCTTCAAATACCTCAGATTTTTACAAAGCCCTTTATCCCTTTGATGGCATATTTGATAACAGTTTTATCTCATTCGTGTTAGAAAGAAAGAGAAAGAAAAGAAAAAAGAAAGGAAGGGCTTGTAGTTCCAACAGAAAATACTTTTGCTAACTCTGCTATTGTACTTTGTAATCCTATCTCCTCAAAAAGCAGACTCGATTTCACCCTTGTGCCTCTCCGGCCCTCAACGCTCCAGAAGTCACAATTGACAGAGGAGGCAGGTAGGAGGCAGCACAGGACATTTCAAGAACACATGGCTGCCTGCAGCACCCGGCTGTAGGACTACAAAGTGGGTGTCTACACTATAACTGAAGAAGGAATGCTTTTGGGGCGGGCTTTCCCCCCCAAAAGTCCAGGCCGTCCCAGCAACCAGTCCTTATCTGACTAGGAAGGGCCAAGCTTCGGAGGGAGCGGGAAGTCTACACATGCTTCCACCTCCCCAGCAGTGATAGTGACAGAGGATAGGAAACAAGATTCACCCCTCCCCTGCGTGCACGTAAGAGCCCTCCTCCCCTTGCAAAAATGACCTTAGGCATCTAGGTTAGCATGACTGGATTTTCAAAACTGCTGAGCATCAACATATCCCAAGGCAGTCGGTGGGAAATTGTTTGCTCAGCGCCTTTGGAGAAGGGGAGGGGGGAAAAACAGTTCTGTCTCCTAGGTGATCTCCAAATATAAATTTTAGGAGCATAAATTTGGGATTTTTCAGCTTTCATACCACAGCATCCCAGAGAGCCACCTCAAAAGACAGACTGTTGTGTGTGCACATAAGAGCCCCCCAGATTAGCCATCCTCAGTTTCTGCTTGCCTGCATGCAGCACTGCTGGGTGCAAAACAAGGCACCTCCTGCCATCCAAGGCCATGGTAGTCTTCTGTGTCCAGAAACTCCATGGCTCTGACCCATCGGTGGGTCTGTCCTGGGTGATGACCATTTTGGAAAGATGGTCCTTGGTTTCTGGGCAGCGAGTAGAGGACCCTGCTGTAGACCTGACCATATCAAAGCTTCAACCCTCTTGAGCACCCATGAACAAGCAGCACTGAAGTCTAAGTGAGTTTTCTTTACATGACCAACAAAGCAGGCTTCAGCTAACGAAGGGGTCACCCATCCTCCATCTCACCACTCTGCAAAGCTGACCAATATTTGCTAGAGTGGGCAATGCTGGGAAAGTGCCTGGCAAAGAGCCCCTCCTCCTTGAACCATTGAGTTTTGCACACAGCTAGAAGCCAGAATCTATGGAACACAGAGGCAAGTAGCTAGGAAAAGGTGTGCTGTAGGGAAGAGTGGGTGAAACGGACCAAAAGCCAAGCCTAGGCTTTTTTCAGTCCATGAGTACCTCAAAGCATAGTGAGCTTCCCAGGGAAGCTGGCAACTAGTTCGTCACCAAGAGCAGCAACAGCAGCACCCATCAACACCAAGCATCGCAGCAAGATTTCCCCTTGGGAGAAGCAGGAAGCCTTCCCAAACATGCTCCAGGGAAGGAAGCCAGCTATGACACACACTTTTCACACGGGATCCCTCTACAGCCCCTAACCCACTGCTTTTTTGGCTTAAGCCCAAGACTTCACTGGTTAGGACAAGAGGGGAAAAAAAAAAAAAATAAAAAAAAAAGAAAGAAAAAAAAAATGAACTTCTGACCTTCTAAGTCTCAAGAGACTTATTCATGCTGTAAAGTGCAGAGATACTGGGTTTGCTTTCCTGACCCATTTAGATCCCCCTCACTGCACATCTGACTTTCAGATTTAACAGGCTGTGCATTGTGAGCCCCAGGGAACAAAACCAAAAACACCACCACATTTTACTCATTTCTGCGCTGCGGATTCCCGACACTCCTGCCAAGATGCCTGCTCCCTCCCCAGTCCTGGTCCCTCTCCCCCTGTGCGAGAAGTTAGAGCTTGGCTCGCTATGGCCATCTCAAACAGGACTGTCCAACAGAGGCAGAGCCAGAGCAGGCCACGCACTCACCGGCCAGGCGAAGCTGAAAGGGATAACAATCCGGTTCTTCTCATTATTCCGGCTGTACTTTAAATTGAAGGTATTTCCTCCGATGACAGGAGTGGATTTGGATCCGAAGCTGCAAGGACCGCCAGCAGTGACCCGTGATTGATACTCCTTCAGGCAAACTTTAAAATAGGTATCACACTCGTCTCTGGTGCATTTTCTGTCTCCTGGGTTTCGGGTGCCATCACAGCAATTTCCATTTTGCAGTTCACCATTCACATTTTGCATGGATAAGATCTCCAACTCAAACTGTCCTGACGCTAAAGTCACCTGTTAATCCCAAGAAAGAACCGGAGGAGAAAAACAAAAAAACAAAACAAAAAAAAAACCAAAAAAAAAAACAAGAAACAGCCAGTTACCTCACTTTTTTTCCCCAAACACAACCTACAACACTGCAGATAGGAGAAAGTAATTTTAAGTGTGCTTTCAAGAAGCACACACACAATATTAAAACTTTAAAAAAAAAAAAAAAAAGCAACCACTCCAAGCTTTTCCCTATCAGACATCCATGCAAAGGGCTCATAAATCATCCCAACGGAATAATGCCATTAATGCTAAGAAAGAACCTTAAGCACCAACTCCAAAAACCACTTTGTGTGTGAGGAAGGCTTCTAAATCGTTAGGAAATAAAATCAAACCAAACCGAGAGTGCATACACAAGGGCAAACCCAACAAACCGATGTGGCTAAAGCACCCTGGAAATGCAACCCCTCTGCCTTCCCCGAGGTGCAGCTGAGACGGGGAAAATAGCCTCCCTGCTTAAGGCTGCCCAGCTGAGATTCAGACCTTGCTCATTAGTCACCCCAAGAGTATTGCAATTAGCCCTGGTTTAAAAAAAAAGGGGGGGGGGGGAAGAAAAAAACCAAAAAAGCAGTTTCGGGAAAAAAAAAAAAAAAGCAGTTTGCAGTAATTTCATTTTTTATTCCCAGGGAATTAAGTCTTGCTGCAAGGAGGACTTCGGCGTTTGCCATCTCCGCAGAAAAGTTAGCAGCAGTAACTCCGCTCTCGCTGGAGGAGCTTTGCAAGAGCGCCGTGTGCGCCACTGAAGGTTTGGGGTTTTTTAAAAGCGATCTACCGCAATCGCTGCGGGAACCGCGTTTCACAGAAAAGCAGCAAAATTACTGCATTCCGCTCTGCGGGCAGGGGAGCCCAATCCAGGCTCGCTGAAGTTTCCCCTCTCCCTCCCTCGCCCTCCTGCGAGGGGCCGCAGCCCGGGAGGACGCGCGGTGCCCAGGTACGTCCCTTTGCCCGCAGCCCCAGCAGGGCCAGGAGGAGGACGAGGGAGCACGCCGCC